GGACGCTGATTACACAAAATATAATGACCGCTGTAATAATAAGTAGATTCAGAGATCCAAGTTGTTGTATCATCACAGGTAAACAAACAACAAAGGTCTGTAATCAGGAAGAGGTTGTGTGTAATTCTCTGGACCACATTCACCGTGTTTTGGCCTCAGTTCTGTGTGTAATTACTTTAGTATGTTTCCCTTCATTTTGTGCTTTTCATTTTAAGTAGAACTAGAGGAAGAAAGTTTGCTCAGAAGCCAGTGCCCTCCAGAGAGCACTTCTCGTAACTAAACAATGAGCACACGGTCACCTGAGCCAAGAAATCACAGAAAAATGTTATTGTAAAAGAAACAATATGTTTATGCATCATCTGCCGGAGCTGAGGTTACTAAAATCATAACTACTGGGACAAATGTGTAGATACCAGGGGGAAGAAGATTAGGGAATAAAGAGGTAACAATTTTAACTTATATTACTTACTGAAATTAGACTTTAATTACTCAGTATCTATTTAATTATTACACAGTGCAGCAGCATTGTTGCTGGATAACAAGGCAGGAAAATAGATTCACTTCGAATGTTAGATTCACTAGCTAATGTGACAAGACAGTCCTGCACATTTTAATGATTTAATATGTACTATATATTTAATAAAATACCTAATATTAATGATTTAATATTAAACAGTTTCAGTAATAATAAGCTGTAGTTGTTACCCTTTTATTACTTGTATTCCACCCTTGTACCTGCCAGTAAGTATTTCATTGGTACCTTTTTATCTAATTAGTGTGTATGGAGGCTCTAAAAAGTTATCTTATTTTAAAATTCTTTGTACAGGACAATGCAGAGGACTGATAAAGACAGTTCTCAGAGTTAATCATCCTCTCTGTGCTGGACTTACAGACTCGTTGGCCAGAGTACAGATAGAAGCTGGAATAGTCTATTGTTGAGATGGTGAAGTGACATAAATTATTAATACTTTATGACTATAATGTAGTAGAGGATACAGTTCTGGTCATTTCCTGTCCCTCTGCTAGCAGTAAATGTTCCATCCTCTGAGAATATCCAGGTCTTCATTGTGAACGAGCTCTCGATGTTTTTTTTCCATCTCTCTCATTTTAATGTGCACAGAGACGATATTGTTGTCAAAGCTGTGGCCCTTTACAGCGACACGTTACAAGCAACTGGGGAACATCTGGTAAAACTACGGTCAAATAAAAAGAGGTTAACAGACCCCGTCCTCAGTCCGACACACCTCTTGTACAGCTCGGTGATGGACAGCTATAACACCTCCTCCTCCTCTACAAACAAACACACACCTGGTCAAAAGTCCTCGGCCCTCCCGGTTATGATCCCTTCATGTGGAAACAAACAGCCACATAAACCAGTGTCGTTTTCCCAATTAGCAGAAGAAAGGAGGTCTGGAGATGAAGAGAGACAGCAGCAGCTTCTGGAGTCAGCATGAAAGCTGCTCATTTGCGAACGCCCTGCTGCTTTAATTCAACCCCTGCATGAGTGTGTATGTTTTCACACTGGCCTACTGAACTCTTTCATTTCATGCCATCAGAGGATCTCTGGTGCGGACGAACAGACTTAAGGGAACGCCGCATGATAACACACATGTAGAGTCACTCTTTATCGTGAATGTTGAATGAAGAAGCTCCTTTCTAACGACAACACTGATTTCTTTATTTAGTAAAGAGTCAAGAGGTATTAGTAGCCTCCTACTACTGTATGTGCTCGCCTTGTGCGTGTGTGTGTGTGTGTTCACAGCTGGTTTTAATAAAGCAGCAACTGGCAGATAAGAAATGGTCAGAAGCAGTGAAGGGAAAAGGGGATTTAGAGAGCTAAATGCCATATATCACAACCCTGCTGACACAGGCATTCACTTACTTTACTGTAATCAATCTATTCAAAACAGAGCAGAGGAGACCAGCTGAATTAGATTTTAAAACACAATACCAAGGCTTAGCTCCGTGACTACAAATTACATTTGTTCTGACCATTTTTGACTGAAATGTCCCACAATGAACACTGAGTCTGCATTAAAACAATAGTTTGACATAATGAGAAATAGTATTTGCTTTCTTGACGAGACAGTTTCCTCTCACGGATGCTAAATACACAGCCAGCAGCCGCTTAGCTTAGCATAAAGACTGGACACAGGGAAACTGCTAGCCTGGTTCTGTCTAAAGGTAACAAAATCAGTCTACAAGCACTGCTAAAGCTCACTTATTATCACATGATATATATGGTTTGTTTGTTTGACCCAGATTAGCCATTTCCCCTCCTGCTTTTAGTCTTCATGCTAAGCTAAGATAACAGCCTGTAGTTTTGAACATTAAAGAGGTATCAATCTTCTCATCTAACTTAATTAAACGTATCTGAAATGTTGTTGTGTTATGTGAAATGTAACATTGTGTTTTCACCCTTAGAGCCACCATACTAGTTCTTTATATCTGAGCTTTAGATCCTGTTTTCAACACAAGCAACCCTACTACTGTTTAACTCATGTAACAGTACGTCTACTTGAGCAGGTTTCTTACACTCTAAGTACATCTCTGCGGGACGTACTGCTGCCAAAGTGGGAGTTAAGCCCTCCATATCAGGACTACAGGGAGGCAGCTGAGAGTGCAGACCGGCCCACAAGGGACAGACAGACCAGCAGTCAATGCTTGATGGACTGCAGCCCACTGCAGCACACCCAGAAAAACTGGCTGCACGCGTGCTTTGAGTCATGTCAACCACAGAAAGCAATTCATCCTGCACCAGCTCTGAATGTGGTGCACTTAAGTAGCAAAGATTTCAACAGATGGCCTCCCTGGACTCTCATTTAAACACTGCTGATCACCTCTGAGGTCAGCTGGACGCTCCTGTTTGGACATTACTTTCCACTGTAATCTGTCAAACCCAACTGGTGGCAAAAAGGACATCAGATAAGAGCACGTGGAAAATGTCAAGAGATGTAAAATGACAAGTCATTTCAACACAATAGCAGGTTTAAAAGTACAGTATGTTGAGAAAGATGTGGGTTGACTGCACTTTTCCTAAGGTACCGTGCCAGTGTCAACTGGAAACCTGGATGTCTTGCAGCTACACGTCAGGAGCAGATTCCTGAGGCAGACAGGAAGAAAGCTGCTGAAAATCAGCTCAACACAAAGTTATGACCCAATTACAACAACCGAATGACTGAATATGAGCTGAAGTGACTTCAGATATCACCAAACTGCCTACAGATATATGCTGTTTCCTTTAAGTCTGTACAGTTGAGTTGTTTCTGTCAGACTCATCTTGTAAATAGTGGCCCCATTGTAAAGCAGTATTATTGATTCATTGTGCTGCTTTACGTAACATTAAGTACAGCCAGAATAAAGATATATACTTCCATCCACTTTATATAGTATTTATAAAACCATCCATCAGTCCTTGATAACCCTTAATGATCAGGCTTACAGAGGAACACTGCCACCTAGAGGTACGTGAATAAAACTACAGGGCAGTTGGATCATTACTATGACATAAGACTCTTTGTATGCTTATTATTGCTACTGATTTCTCACTGAACCTGAGGGTTTATGATCCACCTCCTCACAGTTTATGACCTCCTGCTATCATGTGACTGAAATTCCATACTTAGGTCATGTGACAGCCAATGAACCATCACCATGACGACTGAGGGTATTCTAACTACTGAGAGCTACCACGAGATGTGGCTGAAAGCTCTGTAAATGTACAGTAAGTGGGTCTTTAGCTGTGTGTAGATTATGTGAGCTGTATGTCAGACACATGATAATTCTGAGCAGGTTTTGAGTTTGTTGTGTCCTCTTCCATTTAAAAATGTGTTATTGTTACTTCACTTGGATGTTGAATGTTTTCATGTGTTGTACAATTTTGTGACATTGCAACCAGTTTGGAAACAAATCATGGTCCAATATGCAACTTACACAAGTGTTATGTGGAAACCTGAAATTTCAACTCCACATATACTGAGAATAAGGACTTTTGACTGAAGTAGGAGACGTCTTGTGTCCAGGAGTTTAACTTTTTAAATGAACAATATTTGCATATATAGATTCTCCAATGAAGGAGGAGTGGATGATGTAATCTTAACTATATAATTCAACTTTTTCTTAAAGGCAAAACCATGTGACCTAAATAATTATTGAAAGCAGAGTATTTTCTTAAAACATGTGCGGAGAAGATCTTGGTTTTTAAGATCACTGTTGGCAGACACTATTCTCCCAGAATGCAATGTGCAGAGGAAATGGAGCGAGTTGATAATCGCTGTAAAAACCTAAATAAATTGTGGACGGTAGTGAGAAAAAATTTTGAAAGTAGTAAATCTTTGCAAACTCTTTATTGTATTATTATATAGTGTTGATGTCCTTATATAACTGCAGAAAGAGTACACTATGAATAGTTTAGTACATACAAATGTAGTATGGAACAGAAACAATAATCAAATCAATAAACAATGTATCTGCAAGTATTTTAATCATTGATTAATCATTTATCAATATATATAAGTAAAAAGACGAAACATTCTCTGGTTCCACTCTTAAATATGTGTTTTGCTTGTCTTCTTAGTCTTGTATGATAGTGTATTGAATATCTTTGGGTTTTGTATAATGACTTGAAAATATCTTTTTGTTACCATAGAAGGAGTATTTCATATTTACAGACAATGTGGATTACCTTCTATAGAGTCCACCATGTTGAACAACCATATTTCTACAGTAGCCCAGAAGGAACACACCAAACACTGACTCTTGATACGGCCGTTTGTGTTTTTTCGAGATTTTTGCAGCCACCATAGTTTCTCCTTGGTGCTTGGAAGGAGAGGGTGAAGTGAGGGAATTGCAATCTGCAATTGTACCACTAGATGTCACTACACACTGGTCCTTTAAAAGACCAAACATCAAAATATGAACCAAGATTAAATGATGATTAAAACAATTGTTAGTGTTTTGTTGCCATTTGAGAATTAGTGAAGAAGAAGAATCAAAAGAAGTTGCCTTATTTAAAGATTTATTAATTTATAATACAAGCTTTTATGTAGACCACATTGCATTTTTAGTTTTTACATTTATTCATACTGAGCTAAACTTCATAGCAGTGACACTGATTGACAAAACACAAACCAAAGGACACTCAATGGAAGGAATCAAAAGGTTTCCGACTGTTTCTGAAGAAACCGCAGCCCATCAACACTCCCAGTGCACCACCTTTTGTTTTAGAGACCACATGCCCTCACTAGTCCTCATACAGTATGCCACGTGCATCACACACCCTCAGACACGCTCACACACAAACTCAGCCACACTAAAATTGAACAAATACCTATACACAAGATAAAAATTGATATATTTAAATTTCAATATTAATGATATTACTGAATTCCACAATAAAAGGCAAACAAGAAGTAAAGACAGCATCCAAATGAAAAGGAGGTGAAACACCACCAAATATTTTCCTTTTAACTCTTCATCCAAGTGGGAGAAACTCTCCCCCTGCCTCATTCTCAGTGTCCAGTAGAGGGAGGTCTCACGGCCACGGCACTCCTCCCTCTCATCTTCAACCGCTTCTTCTGTCTGCATTTAACTGGCCTGCCGCGTCGGCTCCCGTTTGCAGGGGAGCATCGACAGTGTAGTCCATAAAGTCAAAGCCAGAGGTGCGAACAAGACACCTGATGGCACACAAGCCTCGCCGGGAGTCTGTTCCTGTTTCTCGTGGACCTGTACGCCCCCTCAGGTGTTTACAATGCTCTTCTTAATAAAAGTATTTTCTCCAGTTGTCCACTGCCAGGAACAAACGGGTGTAACGTAATGGCACAAACGCCACTGGTGCTGATACAGACCGATCGGTTCAGTTACTAAGAGGCAGAAACAGTCTCATGAAGAGGATGGCACATTTTCTACCATGTGGGGAATTTGGGGTCTGTTCCTCTGACCAAAAGAACAAAAAAAAAAAACAAACAGCCATTGGGGGAAAGAAAATGAAGATGAAACAAAATAAACACTTCTGAATTAACAGACTGGTTAAGTGCAATGAGAGGGTTAACACCATTCAGTAAGACCTGGGGAAACATCCATGTGACTAGTAGGGAAGAGTAATAGCTCACACATCCTTAATAGCAAGTCTGTGTCCATGAAGAGTTCCTGCGTCTTTTTCACTACATACGATGGCTCTTTAAAACTTGTCCAACAGCGAACACATCCGGTAGAGGGGGCGTAGGTACTGTTTAATGTTATGATCTTCAAATAAAAAGGAATAACAACAGCAAGTTCTCCGGATACAATAAAAGATTGGGGGCAAAAAGTGACTATATTGGCACAAAAGAAGCCTCAGATTGGACAAGTGTTCAACCGAAGCGGGTGACAGCCCCAACCAGACTTCCTGTGATTTAGTCCAAATCCACAGCTGAGAGGATGACAGGCAGGAGAGAACAGGGTGTATGCATGTTTATGTGTGTGTTATGTGTGTATGTATGTGGGAGGTTAGAGTAGAGGGTAGAGGGTAGGGGGAGGGGGGCAGCTTCTGTTGCTTTACAAGAGGAGACAGCAGTTGCTCTCTGTGGTTTTTTCTCTGTTCCTTTGACCTGTAAAGATAGAAGAGCAGAAACATGAGGTGAGATAAAAACAACCAGCTGAAACTAGAAGAAAGCATGTATCGCTCTTCAGACGGTCTTTGTGGGATGAGGTTGAGCAGCAGAAGCAACAAAAGGCCCACTGCCTGATCTTTGTGAACGGTTAAACAAAGTGAACCTGAGAAAGCAGAGCTGGGTCATAAAATCTTCTCATTTTTGACTCCTTTTGTTCCATTTTACTGACAAATCAAATAAATTAAAGACCACAAAGCTGTTATATTAATTAATGAGCTACATAGCAAATTAACCTTGTGTTTTTAATGAAACTAGGGATGCACAATAATTAGAGGCTGACAACAGAAATGTATTATTTAAATTGATTTTTTTTAATGAAATTATAGTTGATAGATTATTGATGATAATAATTTATTTTAAATTCTTATACAAGACAGTTGGCATGTTGTATAAAAGCCATGGTATGTTTGAGGAGTTATGAAAGACTCAGAACTGTTGCTTGTTTGTTTTTGTTGTGTCAACAGTGATGGTGGTTAGAGATACAGAGATATGAAATATTAAAATCATCATCGTCTGCTCACCACATCTTATCTCAGCCATGAGCAGCAGGTAATGGTTGGTTTTCATACGGGCTTAAAGAAATCTATATCGTGCCAACCTAAATGTAACAGTTTCCTGTTGCTGTAACTTCAAATGTTGCTTTAACTGAGCTTCAGTGACGTACAACTTGTCTAAAGTGAGCTTAACTACTTCAGCTTTGTTCTTATCCCTGCGGTGTTTGCAGGCCAGTACCAATATTAAACCGCCCACAATTCTGCTAATTAAAAAAAAAGAAACAAAGAAACGGATCCTCACCATGAGAGTTCGGCTCCGGAAGAGTCTCTCTGGCAACCAAGTGCATGACAGTCGTTCGGCCCGGTGGCAGCTTTAGAGCTTTAAATTAAAAGAAATTACTCATTATTTATGAGCTGCTTTTATAGAATAATCCTATGGTGGCAAATCCTGTGAAAAAGATACATTTTGAAGGATTCATGCCTGTAACAGGGCAGACAGTAAATTGTGGTGTTACTGAAAGGATAACACTTAAAGCTGGCAAATTCCAGATGAGCAGACCTACAAGATGAGGCAGTCAGACTGAAAGTAAATGACAGTGAAATGTCTGATAGGAAACTGTATAATTAACAACTTTACCCCGTTAGCTCCAGCAGTTAATGGAGTTTATGTTTACAACCCTACCCACAATGTTTCCTATTTATAAGAAGACCGTGAGGTGAAAGGAAATAACTTGACTCCTCTAGGAACTGACACTATGACAACCAATGTTTTAACTTTGTCATATCCTGCTTCTGTGGCACTGAATGAGGCCTTCAAACACGGGTTTGTTCGAGGTTAAGCTCTGTGTTAGTGCTCCAGTGCATCTGCAGGAGTGTTTTTAGTAAGATTGAGACATAAAGCCACGTTCACTGCGGTCAGGATAGTCTTGGTGATGGTGTCTTACCTCCCAGGGTAACGTTGCCATGAAGGAAGCGTCCCTGGAAGATAAGGCGCAGTATACTGGGACTGCTCACCCTCTCCTCCTCCCAGCCTGTCACAGAGCAGAGACACAAGTGCATCACTTCAACGGTCCAAACCATTCTGGACCGATACCAATATCAATATATGACAGCTTTAAAAATCTGATTAAATAAATAACAATCCTGATGCAGATGTTTTTACAGTTAAAAATAATTAATAAAAATGTCATATAGAGATAAACATTGATACCAATATATCTGCAACAATCTAATATTGGTTGATATATTAGCCTGGATGATTTAGTGGTCTATTGTCTTCTGTCTATCTTACACCGTAAATACTGTTATTAGCAAACCAAATCACTTTAGAATTTTTAACTTTGTGGTAAAATTAGCTCGAGTTCATTTTAAATTTTAATATAAACAGTGTATACAAGGTTTTCATTTAGTAGGAGTGCCACAGTGGCAAGAAGACTGCTACAGCAAAGGGAACTGAACAATTAACACAGTTAATTAATCATATTTTATTCTAATTAAATACAATATTGTTATTATTCATAATGATTTGCAGAAACAGACAATGACTGAATCAGATGGACAACTGTGTGCAAAGTAATACAATCTGAAATATATAAACTGAAACTTAACACTAAAAAGAATCAATCATATAAAAACGTACCTTCGGGCCAGTTCTCGAACACATGCTTGGCGATATCTGTGGCCGAGTCATTTGGGGTGAAAGTAAAGTCTTGTGTTTTCCCACTGACCAGGATAAGGCGGAGGTGCACCTAAAACAACAAACAAAAACAGCTTAATTTTAGTCCCCAGAAACGTCGCCTCGGCCCGACACAAACACCACACTTCTTTTAACGTTCTTCTTAATTAGTCGTGTCGGAATCTCTTCCTCTAACCTCTGCAGACATGAGACGACCTTCAGAAGGCTGTGAAGAGAGGGGCATTCCAGTCTAATTAGATTTATCCACACAGGATCTCCACCCCTTGACTGGGCGACTTCATTCACTGAGGGCTTACACTGAAGTGAGCCCCTGTTACCAGAGACGACAACAGATAAGGGTGGGGCTGAGGGGGGAACACTGGCCCTTTAGTTCCAGGGCGCTGCGAGCTCCTCTCCGGGCTGTTGGCCTAATGCGATAACCCCAGGTGTCCCAGACAGCTCTGGGCCATGTTATTAAATTTACATGGCCAGTGCATAGCCCCGAGGGGGGCTGAGGGACTGTGCATGTGTGTGTGTGTGTGTGTGGGAGGGTCTTTAACAGTGGGGCTTCCTCCAAATGTTACCCTCTGGGCAACTACACACACCAATCTGTTAGAAAAAAAACACTAAAACTAAAAAGAAGTTGCTTGTCCAACATCGCTCGAAGGCCTAAATATTACACTATAGACCCAATCTACTACAAGATTTGAAAATCTTGTGTATGGAAGGAACAAAACCTTTAAAAAAACAAACTGTAATTCATCTATTATTAACTATTTTGATAATTAACTTTAATCTTTATGTTTTTATGTAGAAAAATAAAACATTACACAATATAACGAGGACCGGCTGCATTTCTTTCTCTTATGTGGACTTTTCTCTGAATTAAAATAAAAATAAAAAAGCGATATTGTGGCGTTTAGGGAGTTCTTACAGCAGCGACCCGGGTTTAATTCCAGCCTGTGGCCCTTTGTTGCATGTCCTCTCCTCTCTCCCCTTTCCTGTCTACCTTCAGCTGACTCTACCTGCTAAAGACTCGGGAATGATGTATTAAAGACATTTTTAAAATGGATATATATCGAATAATTAGAGAAAATAATTGTCACTTAGAAAATAAACATTACATTGTACACATGTACAACTATTAAAGGTTAAACAGCAAAGGAACAGAAGACATTTTTATTAAAACACTGATAATGAGTTTGAGGTGCAATAGGCTGACAGACTGTCGGTGTGGTTAACCATAAACATCATAATGTAATATTGTATGTAAGTGGAGTTTTTCTGGTAAAATATGTTTTATTTCTTATAATCATGAACAATATTTGAACGTTTCCTCTCACCTAACAACTATTTCGGATATATTTCGGATATATTTCGGATCTTTTTAATATACTTCATAGATGTCTATTTAAATAAATTGTGGTTTGGGGTCAGTGTGCACACTTAACTCTTTTTATTGATGCCGATTTCCAATTATGTCAATAGGTCATCAATAGCGAAACATTTGCAATCATACTGCATATCATCGTCAGCTCATGGTCAGGTTTGAAACGTCACTGTGATCTGATCTTTGTACTGGGACGTCTCCACTCAAGAGTCCGAACTGACAGGAGGGATTAATTTTCCCTGACATTTGCCGTTCTTCAAAAGGTGGCACATGAACTTTCTTTGGTTCACAAATCACAGAGGCGAGAACAAAGAGACTTAACCACGAGGTGTGACGTCAGGGAGGGACGACCCCGCTCTCTGATCTGTTTACAAATACAATCCTCCCTGGTGGTCCTCTGGCCTCCCCTCCCCCCTCTGAACTGAATAACCTCAATGTGGGGTTACATACCATGTCATCATTAACATGCTTTGTCCCCATCCCCTCCACTAGCCCTTTCATCCCCAACAAAATAACAAAAGTCAAATCTGCCTCGTTACCCGTGGCAACATCCTGCATCACAAACGTCCTTGGGGTTCTCCAATGGAAAGGAGGACACGACATCCTTGAAACGCTGTAGTGAATTACTTTTACAGGGAACGCAGAGCAACCAAAGGCTGATCTATTTTTGACGTGGGTCAAGATTCCTAAAAACATAACCAACAACAGTTGAGTGGCCCCCAGTAGCTGCCAAGAGAGACGATCCATTAAACCTCTCTGTGGCTTTTCACCTGATGCAGGTCAACGATTTATAGAAATGTTCTGACAGAAGGACGTGTGCTACAAATAATACACGTTACTCGTGTTTCGAAGGCTGCAACAAATAAATATTTTTAACATCGAGAATAATCCGCTTATTATTTTCTTAATTACACAATTTTTAACGGTTTTACGGATTAAGAAATGTCCGAAAATAATTAAAAACAATTTCCAAAAGCCCAAGTTGACGTTTTACAATGTCGTGTTTTTATCAACAACCCCAAAACCTGAAATACTAAATATAACTTTCTATAAAACAGAAAAGCTGCAAATTTTTACATTTTTGTGGCGTTTTATGCTCAATTAGACATCAACAGATGAAGATATGGACTGGAGAGGATGAATAACACGCAGCAGTACGGAGCCAGTCTTCATTCATGGGGTCCACGCTCCACCAGGTGAGCCCCAAAACTGCTGCTGATTAGTTTCCCGTCACCGGATTAACTGATGAATGGACTAATTATTCCAGCACTCTCCTCTTCTTCACATTGAACATAACAGATAAACATCTCTCTGATTATACCTGCAGGTTAGACAGCCGACAGACAGGCGCCATTAACAGCTAACAGATCTGAATAACTTCTATCATTTCTGATCCGTCTCTCAATATGTGTGGTCCATCCCACTGGTGGGGGGGGGGGGACGTGGTCCGGATTCATTAAGAGGGTACAATCGATTGGCATCTAAACCTTAAAAGGAAAGTAGGGCAACGTTTTAACTGAGATTAGACAGATGGTGTTCACAGGAGCAGCAGTCACTGTCCCGGCTAAGTGTTTGTGGACGCTGGCTAATCCACGACCCCCCCTTTTCTACCCTCACTCCCAAACCCTAGATTATTTTAATTTAGGGGGGAAATCTTTGTAATGTTGTCTCCATATAAATATTACCATCTCTGTATCACGCAGCAGCAGTATATGTGACAGTTCAGTGCAGAGAAGAACAAACAGAGCTTCAGAGATAAGTGTCAGACCCTCACTCACCATATCAAGATCCCTCTGGGTGGTCATGGCTCAGACAGGAGGAAGGCCGTGGACGTGGAGCAGAGAGGACAGGACTGGTGTGCTTCAGCTGCTGGAGACGGGGCCAGAGCCCTTTAACACAAACAACACAAACACAAACAGTGTGAGGAGCTTCCCACCGCCTGGCACCGTAACTGCACACATCCATTATCCACCGAGCCAACACCAAAACACCAAAACACCAAAACACCATCAATCAAACCTCAAACCGACACACGGTCGACAACGTTACCTGGAATCATACAGGTATAACAGGCGTCACCGCTGTTCGGTTTTATTTTAACATAATAAAGTTATCTCGTCAGGCTACGGCAGCGTCGAGCTTATAGCTTAGCGTTAAGTCTTCCGGGCTCGGGTCTCTTGTACTGGCTGCCATTCACCGCCGCTGCTGACCGAAAACAGTCGATGTTATTGAACAGGTACAGCGTTTATCTCGCTCCGCCACATCAACTAGCACCGAGTTTCGTCCTGACAGATGTGGAAACCGAGACCCTGCGAGCAGGAAGGCTTCTGCTACCGTTAGCATTAGCTGCCGCGTTAGCTCTCGGCTAGCTGCGTGCTAACCTGCGGACTACAAATGCAAACGGCAGGCTGCGTCCTCTCCGCCTCACCTGCATCTGATGGTTAAGATGGACTTTAGCATTCAGTTGGGTTGAGGAATCAGCGGGTTGCGGTTTTCATGAGGAAAATATCGAGTGTCGATGGATTATCGTTGGCTGTGGATATCGGTGGCTGATGGACGGGAAGACGCCGGATGTCAGCTGGTTGTAAACACAGACGACGACCCGCAAAGGCTGCTGGGAGTTGAAGTCCGGAACGAGTGAAGCAGTCACTGTGATATTATCTCATACTGGAAATGTTGCAGGGACGTTTGTGCTGCTTGGTGGAGGTCTACTGCATTCAGAGTGAAACCTGATTATTAATCTGATGCATCCCTCGTGTATTTAAATATATTTATATATATTTATATATATATATATAGACAGTTTAGATAAATGTCAAGTTAAAACATCTCACAATAATTGCACAAATGACATCATGCTTTGGCAAACAAACAAACCACTCACTGATAACGAAATTAATAAAATAAAAACATCAACAACACGACTATGAATTAGTCCCGGTACTAAAGTCAATGTTCATGAATGTTCATAATAGTACCATCTTAAGGTCAACTTACTAGCTTTTCCCCCAGAACCATATCACACAGTTTTCATCAGCAGACTGAGTCTGCTCAGTTGTCATGAAGATCATCGCCATGACAACTGAGCAGACTCCTTGGAGACGGTGAAATTTCCTGCTCAACCAGGTTATCAAATGTGAAGCTTGTGCAATACGGACGGTGGCAGTGGACCAAGTGACTGAGACAGAAATGGATTTTTAAGTCAATCGAAGCAACTCAGTTATCATTGATTTTAACAGCAACTCAACATTAAAAGAAAAGGTTAACATGAATTAAAACAGATCTTTGTCTATTCACCATCTGCCTGTAGTTAATCACATCTTAAAGCCTCTCAAGATGAAGAGCCAACCAGTGATGAATTTGTTAACTGAACTCACTGATCCAGCTTTTGGGGGAACATGAGGACAAAACCCAGCATAAAAAAGCTGCAGATAGCATGTGATACGTGGTTCCTGATGCTGATCCCATGAGCCATCAGGTGAGTCATAACACCTGGAACTTCAGCAGCATTTACACAGGAAGCCATGTTTCCTCTCAGCCATGACTCAACTAATGAGGAACAGCGTAAGTAAATAACACTTCAGAGATGTGTTACGATATGGGTGTATTTGGTCACAAGAATACAATAAAATCAGTTTTACGATCTGACAGATACTGTTTGTTAGGTTCCTTTCATCCAAATGTCCATGCAACAAAAGACTATTCACAGAAAATCATCTAAAACCCTGCAGCTCTCAATCAGTATCCAGTGAAATGATTAACAGAGTCATAAGTATTAAGAAAAAAAAGTCTCATATCAAGTTGTAAATCTTAATGTTATCATCTAAATCCAGGTCAATCTAAATTATACCTTGAAACAATGAGAGCAGTTCCAAGTTATCAATAATAAAAAAAAAACAGAAAACAAGAGAACAGTCAAGAGACTGAACACTTTCTACTGGGATATAATTTATTTTAAGTAATAACTTTAGTAAATATATTTCAATATATTATTAGTCTATAAACACAGAAACATTTTCAAGCTTAAAGAGTTCCTTTCTTGTCCTGTGACACTAGTACAACCCAAGTCATGTTTAAAGAGGAATAGACAAATACAAATATATAGAAGACAGCTGAGAATACATTATTATAATTAAATTACATAATTACTACTGAATAATGTACCAGGCTTCAGCCACATCAGCAGACAGGGGTGGAGGCACTTGGAACAGGAAGTGGATTTTTATGGACATGCACATTGTGGATGTGGTTGCCACTGTTTCCTCTCCACTCCTGATCCAGGTGATGATACAGATGATGATCCAGGTGATGATCCAGATGCGGACCAGTAGACGTGATCATTGATGATCACGTCTACTGGTCCTTTGGCTCTTTTGCTACAATTTGATCTGCAGTTCTTCTCTTTGGAGATGACGTCCACCTGCTGAGAAACAGTTTGAAAATGTCATGACAGGATTAGCTGTGCTACAAATAATCAATAAACTACATTTTCCTAATGAGCCTACCATTAATAAATCCTGGTCCAGTATACAACTTATACAACTGTGATGTAGAAACTTGAAGTCACCAGTGCACATCCACTGAGAATGGACTTTACAGTGAAGTAGAAGACATCTTGTGTCCAGCAGGAAAACCTTTGAAATAAATTTGCATATTTATATACAGGAATTTTCAATGAAGTAGATAGAAGTAATTTTTACGGATTTTAATGTGGAAATTAAACTTTATTGGCAGAAAAAAACATGTCAGAAACACATTTTTGTTTCAAACAGACTCTTTGTATAAATGTCTTAATATGTCTGGAGGGGATCTTTATTCCAGACTCCAGATCATTCCTTCCTTTTCAGACGATGCTTCCCACTGCACAGACTACAAGTCTAAAATGTAATACTCAAACTGTCCCAAGAGTTTCCCTGTTGCAGTGTTTGGACACAACCTGGTCCCTTGTGACATAACTGCACTGAGACAATCAAGAAACTAATCGATCATTGTCCCTGCAGAATGTGTTTATGCACATGATTGGTGAAGCTCATGTGCACTGCATTCCTGTAATGTAAAATCAGAAAGTACCTCTAGAACAGTGTCCATAACATGTACATCTTACTCTAGTAACGTGGGATGCCCTGGCCCTAGACATGGAAATGTAAGTAGAGTAGATTGTACCAAGGAAAAAAACCTGTTTGAGACAACAGACTTTTTTATATTAGATCCTTACTGGACGAAAGAAGAGCCTGTGTAGTGACAGAGTCCCTGCTGGAGAGCTGCCCAGAAGAGGTTGACTGTCCCATTTTCTGGTGTATAAGCAACTGTAGTGGAGGCACTTCTAGGTCACAGACAGGAGTGTTCTCTTGAGCAGGTGGGGCAGATTTTAAAAAGCTCAAGCAGGCACTCCTCGTACAGCCAGTAGCCTATTTCACTGACAGTGTGTTGGTTGGTGTTCGACAAAAAAAACCCACAGGCAACAAATAAAGGCAGTAAAATAAAATAGAAATAGCCATTCTACTCGCTGATGGTCTTGTATGCTTATGTAGGTCAAACATATAGAGGCATCAAATTCAGACTGTTTCATAACCAGTTAAAAACTCCTTGTAGTAGGTTTAAACTACTATTTATTTGAAATGTGACAGGAGGTGACAGGGTACACATACAATGCACAGAGGGCAGTGTTTTTGGGTGGTCTATAGGGCCCAAACACAACTTTTTTGCCTTGAAGAACCCTAACATGTTAACCACAGCATGCAGTAGAGGACGTGGACAAACATGAACTCTGTTGTCGTAGCTTCGTTATTAGGAATAACCTCATAAGATGTACCAACAGCAAAAAGTACACAATTACAAAAACAAACTGACAAAGATAACAGCCTACAATTAAACCAAATTTAATGAAGAGACTACACAGAGACAAAACAACAAAAAGGAAAAACAGAAAAGAAAAGAAACAAACGGTAAATATCAGGACAAGATCAGATCAAGCAGAGCATTAAAATGGATCAATTCATTCATAGTTTAGTGTGGCTTTAATGTCAGTGAATTAATTAAGAAATATAGTTAGAAACCAGGATTACAACATTATAAAAGATGTTATTATTGACAACTGGCATTAAGAACATGTACAATTGTATTGTTGTAATTAATTCTTGACACATGTTTTGTAGTTTAAGTAGTTGTAGTCTATTACTAGTATCAGTGCTCTAATTATCTCTAATACCTTAAATGCCTTAAAAAGTGTGTCTGGGACTTAACACACTGTTACATAATGCACCTTTACAGGTACATGTCGCCTCCTTCAGCTGCTGCCTCAACTGTGCTGTCAGATGAACGACTCGGTTTCCCAGAAAGCCACTCCGCGCAGGCGCAGAACGCGTTGCCTGACAGTGGTAAACAGACGTCAGAAGGGAGTCTTCGCCTCGAGTCAAAACAAAACAAAACAAAACAAGTCAAAAAGACAGTGAAGGAGCTGATCTTCGGACAGACACACCGACAGGAACTTTTACAAAAGTCATCTCTGAATAAAAGCCGCTACTTGGTGGAAGTTACCGGAGGCATTTCACGGACTTTTCCCCGGATTGTAAACTCTGGAGTAGCAGGAGCTTAACCAGCTAACGTTACGGAGGCTATCGTGCTGTTTTCAAAGTGCGGCGAGTGGGAGACCGACAGACCTCCGAGACCACACAACTTCACACAACACCCGGGGAATCGCTCTGTACTGAGTTTACCGAGACCGACCGGCGGGCATCGTCCGAGCTCCGGGCCCCGGTCGAGGGTTTTTTTTACAGCCGCCTCTTCG